TCAACCCCAGTCCCCCCCAGATCAATCAAGTCCTTTTCAAAGGCAGTAGGTGTTTGAGGGGCAAGTTAGTCAGGTCAGGGTTCTGCCCTCCTACTGTCTCCAGAGATCTGCTTAATTCAGAGGGGCACCTTCCTTTTGCCTTTCCACCCCCAAATGAGCTTTTTCTAAAGCTGTAGTAGACATACTTTTCATTAAATCTCGCGGAATCCCCTGTTCAATTCCTTCAGACCACAATAGGTTTCTCTTTACCCCTAAGACTTGCGGAGGGGGAGGAGATTGATTTTCCTGTTCCACTCTACATAACCTGGTCTAGGTTTACCCGTTTCCCCATAATTTATTAGCTCTTGGGCCACCTCCTCCCAGGTCACATCTCCCCCCTGCTGATTCTGTCTTCCTCCCCATGGGGTTAGTGCATCCTGCAAGTGATCTTGTAGCTGTACTGCATATAATTTCAAAGACTCAGGCAGGTCCCCGAATCAGGGGAGTCATTCTATCAGGGTTAACAACTAATAGCGTCAGAGAAGGCTGCTGCAGAACCAAATGGCTGTCATGCATTAATTGGAGACAAGCTGCCTTCTGCAGAGTTGCAGTCAAATGACTTACGGTTGGGGTCTCAATACATACTGGATCCCCCCTTTCCAAGGGGTCCAGGTCCCCAGCCCAATAGACAGCTCTCTCTGGTCATCAGTAATTAAGAAAAGCCCTGGCCCCAGTACCCCTGGGCCTCATCTTCTGGTAACAAGATTCAGTCACCACCAGTCAAGGATACCCTTCACACATATTCAGTCTGAGTTTCCTGAGCTTGTCTAGTATATTTCTCCTGAAGTTTTGCAAGTTCAGTCGCTGGATATGGTATTGTTCAAATGGTGATCTGAAAAGCTCCTCTATCCTGGTCATCGGTGGTCTCTGTTTTAATTAATGGTCTTAAATTCACCCCCTTGTTTTGGGAGTAAAGCTCTAACTCCTGTTGGCTACAAGAGTCTAGCTGCCAATTTTGCCAGACTCATAAATCCCGGTTCACTATCTGGAACAGAGCTGAGATCTGTCCGGTTGCAGGTTTATTGTTCATTCTCCTTTAATTCTGACCGTAAAATTTTTTTCTCAGTCCAGGGCATCCTGCAGAGCCATGTTGGAGTTACTGAGTGGTGTTATGCCCAGCAGCTGATAGACTTTGCAAAATTTCAGTTTGGTTCTGCAAGAATTTAGCTTTTTTTGTCAGTAACATTATGTTCCTTGGCCAATTGATCCTTGAGAGTTTTTACCAGATCTTGCAAGGATTTGATTACTTCCCCTTCTGTTTGCCTGTTCAAGTGTTTTATCTTTTTGTGCTGCTGTCAGTGCTGCCCCTTATACAGCACACACTATAGATTTTCCTCTGCCTGGGCTCAACCTTTGTTCCTTCACAAGGACGGTGATAAGGCTTGCCACTTACTCTGGATTATGCTAGTTATCATGGGCCCAGACTATTACTGGAGGAGGAAGACAAGCCTTATACTCCTTCAGTTTCTCAAAAATAGAGGAGCAATCAAGCACTGACATTTCCCGGCCAGTCATGGCTTGTCACTGCTCTCCTGGTTTAGAGCTGAGAGGTCACTTCCCAGTTCTCCCTGTCTGAGTTCATCGGATAGAGAATCGGTGTCCCTACAACCCTATCCCGGCATATAGCTGAGGGGACACTTCCCGCTGCTCCCTGTCCAAGTTTATCGAATAGAGAATCAGTATCTCTTAGGACTCTACAACACCGAAGGGGATCCTGCTGACTACACCGATTTTAATGTCATGTCCTGCTCAGACAAGAGAGAAGTGACTTAGAATTGTAAATCCCCAACAGAGTGGACAGTGGTGAGACAAGTCTCAAAGTCCAGACATTTATTAACTTCCCACAATGTGCTAATTGGATATACAATAATTGACTAAGTATATAACGAGTTATGGCAAGCAATACAGTATGCCTTGTGTTACTTAATGGTAGTGAAGGAAAAGGGGAAAAAAGAAAATATGAAGACAGAGAGAATAGAGAAATAGAGATCACCAGTCCAGGTTCCTGTGTTGATCCCACCAGTGAGGGTTCAAGGAAGCATCTGTCTTCCTCACTTCACGCTCTGAATTCCCCCTCCTTGACCCCCCTCAATTTATACACATTTTCCTTGAGTCTATCCCCCAGGTCAACTCACATACCTGTGTATCCCGTGTATGGGGAGGGGTAAGGTGCTTCATGGGATGATGTCATTAGCATGATCTTGTTGATCTTTGTTAGCATGTTCAGGGGTGTTAACTTTAGTATCATTCACTGGACAGATGGTCCTTGAAACTTGACGAAGTGCACCAGAGCAGAGCCCTCCTGTCTCCCCAGGGCTCCCTCCTCCAGCCCACCCTGTGCTGTCCAGGCAGCCTTACCAGCTTCAGCCTCCACACAATCCACCCTGTGACTGTATTTCATTATTTGTGGGTGTTTAAGACATTCATTAGCATGGAGGGCCTCCACTCCCCCCACTATCGTTTATCTCTTCCTCACGCTGTTTTTCTGTCTTTGTTTCTCACAGGCCTGTTTCTTTCAGGACCTGTTTTTACAAGTCATCTCTCACAGTGGTTTTGTTCCCAGTCATTTTTTTAAGCACTTTATGTTCATAGATATTTCATGTCTATATTGTAGTGATGTATAGAGGCTGCAGTGGTCTGTTGTCCAGAACACTGAGATCGTGCTTTTACATACCCACCTGTGCACATCAGCGTCCCCTCCCCAAAAGCCTGCTGCCTCAGGATAACCTAGTACAGTACAGCTTGAGGCAGAGTGGATCTGGAAAAGGCATAGGATTTTCTGTTCCCAGGGCAGAGAGACTGAAGGCATAAATATCTACTTATTAGCAGGAGCAATATTCTAGTCTGAGAGTCTGGCATGACAACATGGGAATGATAGAAACTTCTCAGTGACCCGAATGTGTCCCCTGTATTTGGGATGCATGTGGTTTCTCACTTGTTTTTCTGCTCACTAAGTCAGTCTCTCATGCACAGAACATCTGTCAAATTTTCCAGACTCAGTATTTGATGTGGAAAAGAAGCAAAACACTTGGGCTTGTCCTTTCTTGTTAGCATTTGTTTGCAGCATGTGATCCACATGGGCAGCTTCAGAAAGCAGGAGCCTGCAGAGCTGCAAGCACCCCCTGTAGGCTGTCATACACATGTTGGCACTGAGACTTCCCACATCTTTAAGTTGGACAGAAGACAGCAAGCACATCCTTGGTGGCTACTGGAGGGAGACCAAGGTACCTGGTTGATACTCCTGAGCAGTCAGCTCACACTGATTAAGCTGATGATGATCAGACCAAAGCCTCTGAACTGTGGAGAGAAGCAGTGGGTAAAGCCCTGTATATTGGATCTTTCCTTGAGATTAGAGGGTAATGGCAGTCATGCCCCTCTGCTTTAATCAAAAGGCAGAGCTGCTTTAATGATCATAGAACTTCCCACACACAACGAAGTGGAGAACATTTTCTTAGGGCTGTAAAAGTGACTGATTTTTAGGATTGGGAAGGGTGGACAGATAGAGACATCTCAATTTCCAGCTGTGTTTTTACGCAGCAGATGAAGGTCACAGAAACTCTGTGTGCTCATTCCCTCTGATGCGCACTGGGGTCCCAGTTTGCAGGGTGGAAAGCAAAGGCTTGTTAAGCTTGCAAGGTGTCAGAAGTGTTGACTGTTAAGGAAGGCGAAGGAAGCTGCATTTTCCAAGGTGCTGCAAGGGTGTACCCAGCACCGAACTCCGTTGCTCAGGATATAACTGCACAGTTTGCTGTCTGTTTGGGGTTATTTCCCCCCCTGTAGTCAGTGTGGGTTACTGGGAGAGGTAGACAGTAAGAGTAAAAAGGCTATTGACCTGGTGCATTATGGCAGATGTGTTTCTTGCTAAGTACTGCAGAAAGGAAAGGAGGGATTTTTTAAAAAGAGAAAGGATAAAAACCCTGCTGAGTGTGCCATCTTCCTTAAACCTCTGATTTCTGTTTAAAGTGGTTTCAGCTTCTCTCTGTGCCCCTGCATACCAAGAATTCACAGCACTCCTGCTTCATGAAGGTTCACTGGAACTAATTTCTGATGTTCAGAAATGGCACATGTTACACACATTATAGGACACGGCTGTACCCAACAGGAGGGCAGTTTTCAGTGTCCATTGTGTCAAACTTATAGAAAAAAGTCAAACTAGTAAGGAACCATCTCACTGTTTGAATACCATGGCTGTGCATGCCCAATTAAGCTGTGAGTATGTGGGGAGAAAACTTTGATTAAACTCTGGCCCCAGCCAAACATTTGTGCAGTGGCCTGATTGAATGTATCTTTTCCCTAGGAATGAAGACATAAGGAGGCCTCAGGAACAAAAAATTCCTTAAGTGCATTAAATTCCCATAGCCATTTATAGCCCCTACAGCCACATCTCGACACTTGCCTTTTGATTGTGAATGTTGTGTTCCCTGCAGCGAGCAGAGAGAAAGGACATCATCTGGTCTGGGACTGGTCACACCGTGTAGCTGAGATTTTGATGTCGGGGTCGGAGCTGAATGCATCGGTTTAGAGAGTCATGTAAAAAAGCACAAAATTGCCAAGTGAGTTCCAATAGCAAAAGCCCATGGTGAGTCTCAGAGTGCTCATAGGCATTTACAAGCAAAAGGCTAATTAGTCAAGTAAGCGTTTCTCAGGGTGGATGAGCTATGGAGAGAGCAATGCACCCATTCAGTATGCACAGAGGCAGAGTGTGTTCGTGCAAAGAGGCAGCTCCAGCCAAGCTGCCGTGGGAATGCCGTTGTTCTTGCAGCCAAGGTTGTTACTGTGGAGCCCTGTGCTTTGTTGTAGAACATATATGAAGTGATAGGTGGGACATATGCCAGTAGCTCAGCACTCCTGGGTATCTTTATACCCTGTGGCATGGGTGACACTGTCTCTGACCCAGCTCAGTTTCCTTTTGGATCCATTTTGCTCTCTGGAGGGATTGGCCCTGGCCTGTGCACACAGAGATGGTCACCCAGACTCTGCTGGTGTTTGTGGTCCCTCTGTGCCCCTTCATCAGGGTGTGTTTTGAGACCGATCCCATGTTACAAGGATGCTGCAAGAGCTGGTCTTCAGTTGAGATCATAGAATAGGTTCTGACACAGAAAATAAGGGTGTTATTTCAAGTCAGATTAAAGGTCTCACCTACCCCTGTGTCATGTCTCCAGCAGGACAAGAACAGGGTGAGCCCGTGGCGATGCCTCCCTGGTTCCCTCCTCCCGGCAGTCTGCGCCTAGGGGTTGTATTGGACAGATATTCCTTCCATTCATTTTTCTCACCCTTTCCTGAGACCCTTTTAGCATCGACAGCAGCACATTAACTGCTGTGTGGAGAAGTACAAAGTTGGTTTCCAGCTACTGCATACTGCCACTTGATTTCTCATGCTTGTAGAAAGCAAGGGCTAGATGATCCCTATTCACCTTCTCACCCTACTCAGGATGATTTAGACTTCTCCCAGAGCCCTGCCAGTTGTCTGTCTCTCATTGGCTGAAGAGTCCTGGTCTATCCAGCTGATTGTTTGATGGAACCTGTCATCTGAGATCTCTTCCTTGTATGACAGTAGCTAGCTACAGCTCATCATTTTAATTTATAAAGAGGGGATTGTTTTTCTTCTGCGTACCATTTCACTTTTAGCTTCATTTAATTTCAATTGCTATATTTTTGCCATTGAACTGCTGTATTTTGTCATTTAGTATAGTTATTAAAGTAGGATTTTTAACCTAAAATGCATGTGATTCATCATTTATGCCTAACTATGTTCTCATGGAGACTGTCTTTTTGTTTTCAACCTGCGTGAAACTTTTTAACCAGTCATTACACTGCTGCATTAGAGGAAAGGTACAGCAGTGACTGCATTAGAGGAAAGCAGAAGAAATTGCATATAGTGCAGCATTATCTGTTTAATGTCATTGAACGCAAGGTCTTGTTAGCATGATCCATTTTAAGTGTTGTCAAAGTCTACTGGATAGTGCAAGGAGCAGAATTTTGATAAAACACTGTAACCCTGCATATGTTTTTTGACCAGTTTCTGTGAAGATAGAGCCTAATTCAAGAATCACATTTTATCTCATAAGCACAGTGTATTAAAAAGAGCTAATGTGCACTGCAGAGAGAAGGCAGGCACTGGGGAAGAAAGGACAGTGACTCACCAAGTGAAATTTTTATTGAGAGCAAAGAGCAATGATACCTTGCTTTGAAGCACAGTGACTCTGCCTTGCATACAGGTGTCAGTGCCAAATGGTGAGTTGCATTTTTATAAGAAATTGCGTTCAAAATACAAACACTAGAAAACAGGAGATGAACATTATCAGTTCGCCAGTTTGGAATGGTATTTTCTAGTATTTAGTTTCTGTTGCTTTGTTCCATTTGTTACAAAATGATGGTTTCTTCAGATATTGGACCTAATGTTGGGTGTTTCCCTGTGCAGCTCTACCTATCATAAATCCAAATTTGCATACACATATAGATATATGTATAGGCATGTTCAATTTAATGTCTAGCTTGTAGGTGGGAACAAGTGAACATGTTTGAAAACCAGTTTTAATTTTCACTGTGGTGCTAAGTAGAGATATTTCCAGCAGGTTTGAAGTTTGCTGTGAAAGGACTTTAAATATTTTTAGCAGTGGTGGAACTGCCTGAATTGGTAGTTTGTCTCTCTCTCTAAATCCTTTGATGCACTGTACCATAGGGTACAACATTACCTGGATTAGGCTGTCTGCAAGTGGGCGTGATGGAGCGAACTCTATGTTTGGGGAGCTTTGTTTTTCAGGGGGATTTTAGTGACAGTGAAAGGTGCTGTGCTGACAGATGCTGAAATTAAATCTTTCCAGTTAGCCACAAAATAGGTTCAGTATCGGAAGTACAGGCTTCTTCATTGCTGTCCCAAGAGGGACTCCAGATTGAATTCTCCTATTCATTCAGTCCTTGTTCCTTCTGAGCTGGACTTTCACACAGAGCTGGTCACAAGCTTTTTAGTTTTAATCATGAGGCTGACTGGTCCACTTGGCATTCATCTGAAACTGTAAATGCGTTTCATACAACACCCCAAAGAGTCATCGTATGAAAATGGTTTGGGACTAGTGCCAACCCAGGCTGGATTTGAGTTGATGACCCACCATTCACATTATATTCCCAGTATCATCCATCACATAAGTCTGATGTTGAAATCTGGTGTTTTCAGAGGGACTTTTAGCAGACTAAATGTGCTTTCTAAGTTCTGTGTTTTGCCCTGGGATTCAGCCATTCAAAACACCATCATGTTCTCTGCTCTCTCAGTGCGGGTGGGAATGGACTCGCCTAATAGCCACTTAGAGAAGAGACTGCATAACTTCTAGCTAAACCATTCTGCTTTGTTTCCTTTTATTTCTTAACAGGATCCAACAGCTGCATCTATTTCGGACAGAGATTGTGATACAAGAGAGGGAGAGACTGTAGCCATGAACTATAAGCCGTCCCCACTTCAGGTGAAATTAGGTGAGTTGTTGCTGTTGGAGAGTGGAAAGTCTGAATCCAAGGTCTGAAATGCAGTGAAGTGCTCATGGGGTTGTATGCAGATCTTCATGCATCTGGCTGAGAATGCCAGCTCAGCTCAAATAACTCACAGAGTAGTTTTGTCATTGTGTTCTGCTGCTGAATGAACTGACCTACAAACACGTAAGGACCCTGTATCTTGGGCTGTGATAGAGAAAGGAAGCTATGCTTTGAAAGGAAGGCATAGTTTTTTAAGCCTACAGATTTTTATCAAGCTAAAATTGAGTTTTGGCCAGATAAAGAATGAAGAAAATACGAGGAACTGTAAAAAGAAGAGAAGACAGAATAACTTCAAACAGAAGGGAAAGGATTAGAGACTTGAACCACTACCAGGAAAAGATAGAGCTGTGTTACTGTGAGATGGAGGGCTTGTAAGTCTGTAAATTCACATACAAATTCACATACAAATGCTCATGCTATTTCTGAGCAATATTTTTTAAGTTCTGGAAGCAGAATCATCCAGTTAGTACAATACACTGCTTCCTCACAAGCCTGATTCTTATAAGAAGACAGCAATCCACAGATGGCTGTGCTGCCTCCAGAACCTGAGCCACTGGTATGCCACACAGCCTCAAGAACCTGATGAAGGACAAGTCAAAGGAACAGTGTGCTTTTTGCTCATAACATGGATAAAAAATGGGAATCTAGGTCTGGAAAATTTCCCAGTACGAGCAGGAAGCAGTCCCTGGTTGTCCTTCACATCAGAAAAAATGACATTGAGAGGATGCTGCTGGAGCTGATCGAGGGTGACAATGCCATGGTGGGAAAGGCTATGAAAGAACTGGGTGCCCACATGTTCAGTGGAATATAGCTCTGTCCCCTACTGAATGAGTAATAGGGAAGGTAAGCAGACAGGTAAGGTCTGAAGAAGATTTAGGAAAGTTTGGGCATTGGTGTATGATTATGAAGAGACGTTCTCAGTAGATAGGTTTTACCCAAGGACATGCAATACTACTGCAGATACTAGTGCTGGCCTCATTTATGAGAGGAGCCTTAAGAAAACATCAGGAAAAGGCTGGGAAGCCCTTGTGAAATCTCAGAGCTCTTCCTGAGTATGTGGTAAATTGAACAATCAGACAAATCTGATCATAGCAGTGCAGAAGAGAATGTCACAGAGTAGACCCATAATAGGTAAAGGAAAATAGAGTAGTTGAATAGGCAAGGTCTCGCTGAAAGAGTGACTGGGGAGGAGAAGAGAGAAAGTTGGTTATGTAAACACAGCAAGATCATACAGCAAAGTGCAGGGCCTTGAGATACTGATATGGGATATGAATAGGTGCATTGGGACAGTAGATCTGTCCTGCAATAGCAGTTGTGAATACTGCAAGACCATGGCTGCTTTTCAGGAAAATGCAGGGAGCAACAGTATGTGTTAGTGACAGCACAACTCAACAGTTTGGCAAAAGATTATCACTGCCAGCATGCCATATGCCACCAGGATCCTTTTTAACTGCCAAGAGAGTTCTGTAATGTTATTAGAGAGATAATTACTACTGCAGTAGTTGTTTTGGATAATTTAACATCAGGAATCAGGTTGGAGAGCAATTGATACTATTATTGGTAAGTGTGAGATATTCTTGCATTTCTGGGCAATAAAAATATTCCCCAGAGATTTGCTAACGTGACAGGAAATGGTGCTATTTTAGTCTTGGCTTTGGTAAGTCATGAGGACGTTATAGGAAATCTGATCATGGAAATAGATTTGGATTCAGGGATGGCTAGTTCAATTCATGCAATTTAAATGGAAAGGTAATTTGAGGTAATCTGTAACAAACCTCAGTTTTATAACTAAGTACTTAAGCAAAGCCAATAGATGGAGAAACCCAGGAACTTAAAACGCATCAGGTAGTGTTGAAGGGGAAAGGACATTGCTAATGGGATTCTCCAACAGTCATTTCATTTATGTGTTCATTAATGACTAATGCAAAAAGAGGGAGCTGGCAAAGCAAATTTAGTCGTATTTGGGAGACATCAGTACAACAAAGATTCAGGAAAGCCATCAAGAAAAAACATGAAAACAGGAATAATAGAAATGAGAAGAATATGACAGGAGAAACTCCCAATCAGCTGTAAACTTGAATTTACCAACTGGAGGTGACTGAGGAAGAGGAAGCCTATTACATTAGTTGATTGCAAGGTGACTATTAAAATGGACTAAAACATGAAAATGTGCCATAGTCACAGTTCTGCAGAGCTTAGCAGCTTTTTTCCAAGGATCAGGTAGAACAGAATGATTAGTCTTTCTGCCAGAACTTCTGCTTTTCAACACAGGGAAAATGTTATTTCATGTAGCCACTGCTGAATGCCACTATCCATCAGTAAAGAGTCAAAGGGATGTATGGGAAGAGTCTGAATTCAGTAGGTAGAGGTGTGCCATTGCCAGAACTTCCTTTCCAGCTAGTGCTCCTGCCCTAGTGAATACCCAGTGCTGACCACAAGTGAATGAAACTCACATGCTTAAGAGGAATTGTCTTGCAAGGCTGATGAGCATCTTCCTGCTTTGTCTCCAGAGAGAAGTCCAATCAACAACCTCTCTCTGCCTGTGGAAACAGCATGTCTCTTTAATTAGGTGAACACATAACTAGTGGCATTTGGATTGCCTCTCTACTCTTAGCTATACCCAGATGAGCTCCAGGTTACCTGGGGCAAAATGAGATTGACAGTATTGTCTGTAGCCAGTGTATCATGTCTTTAATCCACATCAACTCCTGCTGCTGTTACTCTTAAAATCTGGCCAGCCTTTATGATTTTCAAGCAGTTTAATGGGTCGCATCTCCCAGCTCTGGCCTCCAGCCCCCATTCTTCCAACTAGATTTTTCTGTCACTTCCACTTTAAACTTGTAAGGATTTGGATTGTTTTTTTAATCTCTTTAAGACTAGACAAATCAAAGGTTTATATAAATGTTAAATATTTAATATATATAATCAAAAATGTTAAATGTTTAATAGCTTAACTGGCACAGCCATTGCTGGGCATGGTAGTGACTAGGTTTTTCATATGTATATTTTTCACTGTTAAATCAGAATCAATTGTTCAGATGTCAGATGCTCTGATGGAAGGTTGATAAATGTAATTTTTCACTCTGTGCAGATTCATTTAAAAAGCTTGGTTCCAGCAAGCTCAATTAGATACCAACACAGCATGAATACAACTTTTGCTTTCAGAGGCCGCAGTGATTGAAGTGTGACAGAGTGAGCTGTGCTACATGCAGTGCGCATAGGCTTATCCTGCTGCTTGGATGGTCTTTTCGTTGGTTGTTTCTCCCACTGTGAATAAGTACATTTGGCCACGTGTTTGCTTGGGTGGTCAGTTAGATACAAGAAAAACTTCACAGGTGGCTTATGTTTCTAGTGACTTCCTAAAGTTTACATTTGGTTTATAAGTGCAACGGTAAAACATTTAGCTTGCTGCTGGGGCCACATCAAAAAAAGAGGAGAACCTCACACCAAGGGGAAATAGTATCTCCCAGTTTGTGTAGTTCATAATCTTAAACCCTAAATTGATATTATATCCATATTAATTATGTATTTCTGACTTCTCTAACACTGCCACTTGTCTTTCTGTCAGGAATTACAAGGCTCAGCCATGCTTCTTTCTTTCTTACAAATCACTTGATAAGGAGGCTCCCAACAGCACTGGGTGTACATTAGTGCTTAGGACATGTCTCCAGCACAACCTTATTAGGAGGCATATCCAGATGGAGCACATACCACAAGCCGTTTGAAAGCAGAAGAGAGTTGTGATAAGGAGGAACAAAATAATCCCCAAGTGTAAATCTCAGGGGCATCGTATCTACTGGAAGGCAACGGATCCTCATGGGATCCCCAGGAGACAAGATATTATTTTAATGAAGCTTACGCCATCTGTTCTGTTTTGCATTTTTAATTTCCCTTATCTGCACTTAACTCCCCATCCAGACAGTCTGTCTGTCTTACCTGGCAGTCAATGACGTTACAGTTTGTGTTAAAACAGAATGGGCAACATGGCAATTGGTTGGAGTGCTGCAGAACAAGCTGTAATGATGATGAGGGATTGTGGCAGTGGCATCTTTATCAGCACATCCACCACACCAGGTGCTTGGCAGTAAATCTCCCTCATCCCTGTCTGCAGGTGAACATAAGGCAAAGGGGCGGACAGAGAGACACTCATAGCAGCCTTCATTGCTTTGAGATACCTGTTGCCTTAGATGTAAGCACCTCCTCTCCTTGGACTCAATAGAGAATAAAGCACTGGTTTTGGAAGATTGCTCAGGGAGGTGCCTAAAAGTATGTGAAAAATTAGTATCTAAGCTAGGCAGATTGGGTCCCACCTTAAGACTGAGTTACATGCCGATGAAGTCTCCTGACATATGACCAAGAGGAAGCCTAATTCATACAGATGCAGGCTTAAAAGTGCTTACGCTTTTTTAGATTTTCTTTGCAAAGCTTCTCGTAAAAAAAATTACCTGAATTACAAATGTAGCAGATAATTCTCCTGCTTTCTTAGCTACTTTTCTGTTTTTTCCCCCTTCCAGCTTAGATCTTATGCTGTTATTTATCTTAATACCAAAAGCACAGTGGCTGATACTAGTCAACCCCATAAAGAGATGCTGTAGTTCACACATATAATCCACCAGTCAAACCAGAAACTTTCCTTGCTTCAAGAGGCAGGAAGCTGTTGTAATGCTAAGAGAGCAGAGCTATTTCATTAATAGGATACTAACACTTTCCTCCTGCCAGCTGCATTGTAGGATGTTACTTTTTTTCTCTAGGAGACACAGTGCAGATCTCTCAGAGCAGGTCAACCACAGCCCAGCTACTGCTGGGAAGGAAATTCTGCTTGCCAGGAGCCTGGACCTATTGGTAGGTTGAGCATAAAAGCCTTTTGAGTCACCCCAGCCTGGCCTTTTGGCTTCCTGTATGACAAGAAGGAGATGAGAGCAAGTGAATGGCCACAGCGGGGC